GATAATGTGATTAGGCCATTTCTTGTGGCATCTTTATTTTCTAAAACCACATTATTAATATTGTAATAATAGGAATAAAGACTGTAGTGAGAAAATGCTGCACTAATTTGATTCAATTGAAATTTTTCATCTACCTATCATATATCAGATTAAAGCATCCTATGTACAGCTTGAGTGGTTTCTCCTTTCATTCCGTGTATTATCATACTTTATTTGTGAATTCTAAATGTAAACTCATATAAAATCACGTATATTACTTTGCATAAATCTGTATTCATCTTCGCTTTTAAATGAATGACAAAACAATTTCGATACATCATTAGGCTTTTCTAAATTGGCTTTAATCATGACTAAATGTTTCCGATATGAAACTAAATAATTTATTGACTGTAAAATGAAATTATGCAACGTTTTTTAAAAATAAATTGCCTTTGTATATTTCTTGACTTTACGTATGAAAATTAGTTTAGACTTTCTTCCGAAAATATAAATGTTAAATCATTAACATTTCAAGTACATATGAATAATAGCCACGTAATTGAATATTAATTAATGAGAAGCATTTAATTTTGATAAATGTTCCTTCATTTTTTGAAAAGGATAAAGAAAGAATTATTTAAGGCAATTATTCATTTCTCCAAACAATGCTTTATTTGCTCGTGAATCTGAGGTGTACTTTTAAAACTCATTTACATCTAGTATGCGATTTATTTTGCTTCCTTGTTTTAAAATAATGTAAATAATTTTTGAGATTTCCTTATTTTTACATTAACACAAAAATTTTATTTTCGAAACTATGCGGTAGTTCTATGCGATTTCAGTTATTTTTATACGTAACTAACTCATAATTGATCAACCATAGAATTAGTAATTTAAAAATAGTTTTTTTATATGTAAGAAATGAAAAGTTTTTAAAGTAAAAATTAGAACGGGAAGTCACAGCTTAAATCAGTTTTTTTCTACAGACATTCCAACTTGAAATGCATGTATCCCCCATTCAAAAAAAGGTTACTTTACATTGTTTCGTTTCTAAAAAAGATCTGAATTAGAGTATTGTTTGGCAGTAGAAATACCCTCATGACATTTTTACGCAAAACTATAGAGAGCGTTCAGAATTTGTCATGTAGTGATTTCAGAAATGCATCACTTCAATTGTAAAAGAGCGTTCTTGTTTTGAACAAATCAAAAAATTGTATTATTAACCAGAATTTATCTGTTCTCTAGAAAAATTAGATGTTTATATGTGCGTTTTCGATATCCCTGTCATATTTGAAATCAGAAATCAGATTACGAAAATCGAAACATCGATCCTTTCATCCCATCTAAGCATCCCAGTATGATGATCCCTTACGAATTTTGAAGGAAAACACTATACTTATACATAAATTATTTTTATTTATTTATCAAAACATTCTTCTTTTAATGTTACTACAAGTTTCATTAATAATCTGATATGATTTCATATACGTTACTACTGACTTAGCGCTCAAAACAAGTTACCGGTAGCTAATATCTCCATTCCTATTTCTTGTATCTTAAATCTAGCAATTCTTTATTGCTATCTACTGCTATTCGCTTGGCCTCAAATTATTTAATCTTTTGTAACTACCGTCTACGTTGTCTGCTACAGCTTGCAAGTCGTCGACAACATCACCTTGTAATTGTCTTTGTCATCGTTCAATCTATCTTCCCACATACAGTGATGATCTTCTGAACCATCATGAGCATTAGATATCCTAGTTTCTCGAAGCTCTTCACTATTATGGGTTCATCAGTTAGAGCCATGGGAAACTCAATTAACAAAACAAAAGTCATCATTACGTGGACCAATCCATTTAAAATTTAGGAGGGAGAGCTCACTTTCTGAACGCCTTGAGGAAGGGAGAAGTTATATTACAGTCACAAAAAAATTCAGAATATCTATATATCTACATGTATATATATATATATATATATATACATGTAGATATATAATGACTTTAAAATGCGCAAATGAAAACAGTGGAACCTTCAACAGCTTTCGATATTTCGTAGATGGCTGAGAAGACCGTAGTGGCTAAAGGTGGGGCTGAGTGGAAAAGAATGATGATGCATTTTTTACAACTGAACTTGAATCTTTATTTTTTTTCACGTATATCGAAACATCCTTTTGCAGACAAGATGTTTTCCTAATTATATTTGAATACAAGTGTCATTTTGAAGTACGACATCACCTTAAGCAACTAAGCGGCAGCAGCAATAATGAAAAGCGTCTTGTCAACAGCAGAGCTTATGCGAAAAGGGGAAGAGCATCATAGAACTTCAGAGGAAGAAGGGTGGGAGTCGGGAAAGTTTCAGTTCAGAGTTATGGTTTACAATTAATTTAATTGGGCAAAAATCATCTGCATTAAAACGTTACGCAAGATAGAAAAATCTGGAATCTGTGAGAAGTTATGACTTTATTGGCAGATAATCGAATTAGAATGTTAATTTTGAGGTCGCTAATTATTTTTTTTTGAAACAGCTATCATATTTTGTTATATCTTACATATACATATGAATATATAGATATGCAAGCCGAAAAATTATAGTATTTTCTTATACAAAACTCTAACTCTTCATTTTAATTTGGCACTTTCCCATTCCTGTCCTAAAAATAGAAACTGCTTGTGATAAATATAGCTATATCATTCATATCACATAATCTTGCATAGCGTTGCTGATACCTACGCAAACTCTTTAACCAATATCTATAAAGCAAACTGAAAACAGCTAGAGACTAAGAAAATTTTTACTTCTCTTCCAGGCTTCCTGTTTTGATTGTGACAAAGTCTTGCTTTGCTTCATCTCCAGCTAACATGCTGCTGTTCACCCTTTCATTCCCTCAATCGTAATGCCACAATTGTGATATCAAAAGCACAAGTGTGATTAACAATGGGCGCAAATTGCTCGCATTATAATGCGTGATTCATAATAATAATGCGTTTCTCCAGAGTTGTTTTGCTCAGAAATATGATGCATTAAATCACCATCCTGGCTACATATGACTGAAATGATATAGTTAAGCTTTTGGACACCATCACTATATGTAAGACCTGCCATCCTATGATTCGTGTCTTCTCATCCAAATCATCATATATATATTTATGAAAATTATGTATATATATATATATGAAATAATAGCAAGGAAAAAACGGAGCACTGTTATGCGTACATAGATCGATACTGAAGAGGAGGGCTTCCGATTGCGTAGTATGCTAATATGTTGATTTGGTAATATCTAAAGAACTTCATTCGAGGCAGTTTTAATTCTAATTAATATTTGTGCCCTCAGTTCACTTGGCACTCGAGTTGTACCTATTCAAGAACATTTAAAATTTTGATATTATTGGAATAGGAAGCAGCACAGCGAAATTACGTCTACGTAGAGCAAAGAGCGAAGCTAAAGTGCGTAGTTATGCAATATGGAAGCACGGCAAGAGAAAACATTTGCTTCCCAATTATTACGTCATCAGAGTTGAACAGGCAATAGAGTGATCTAAAAATGACGCAATCCCTAGAAGTATTATGTTTTTTAAGACAGAAAGGGAGAAATAATATTTCCCGTTAGTTTAAATTATAATTCTGATTTATATATTTTCTACCTTACATCTAAATAATCCTAAAAACGCAACTGAAAAATATTAATAATGTACAATAGTTGTCAAAGGCTAAGATAAAACTAAGCAACACATTAATTTTTCATCTCAAATGATAAAACATTCTAATCGTTAAAACATAATAAAGTAATATTGATGTAATTTTTGCAAATACTTGTATTTATTCATATCTAATTTTATTTTCATGCCTTTTTTGCAATATTACGCATTTGGTTTTTAACTAATTTTGTAATTATTTATTTATTTAGCTCATTTTATTTCAGATTTTAACTGTCCTTACTGAATTTTGTAAAATTCTTGATTCTGATGCTATTAATACTTACACTCTTTAGTTTATAGGTTCTGTATAGTTGTTATTTGCAAAAACCTCAGGCAGAACTGAGAAGTGGGGAAATGGACAAAATGTTCTTGATGCTACGGTCTCCACATTTAGTGATTTTTCGCATATATATATATATATATATATATAAGGATATAAGCTGCTGTGAGACAAGTGGATTAGTTGAGTGATTATAATGTGCCAAAATACTCGAGGGCTATCTGCTAGTGTGGAGGGCTGTCTTCGTGGAGGACATTTCAAGGAAAACAGACTCCTATTTACTTTTCGCATGGGGTAAAACACGGAAATCAAAGCTTGTAGCAAACCTTTTACACAGTGGTCTTATCCTCTTTGCCATTTGTGGGAATAAAAGAAATAGATCGTTATTGTGAGGGTGTTTTACCCATCTTAATTTGTCGTCGGGAATTATTGCTTTAGATTTTGCTCACCAAGGGATTTTCATGATACGAAATATTCATAATATGTAGAGTTTTGATTTACCTCGTTTTCCTTGAATTACTTTTAGCTGTTTATTTTCCTTGTGAGAGGTCTGTCATTCATCTGAAGTTGAAATAAAGTTTACCACATTCACTTGGCCATTTCTACAAAACCCATGCACACATTATAATAAATATCAAATGTAAAAATGCATTTATAATATTACATTTTCATGTATTTTATGTTCTTCTTTTACTTGATAAATGCTGTAAATCTCTTCCCAAAAATTAAAGGAATATAGCGTAAGGTAACATATATGTTATATATTTATTATTATTATATTATATAAGTGCATTTTGTATTTTTTACATATTATTTTTTGTTAAACATCACATATATTAAAAATGTATTTCCTTATACAAGTACATTGGTAATACATAGGCACATTCAATACATACATAGGCAATATTTTTTGCATAAGCTTCTAGAGATGCGTTTTGGTAAGATATGTATAGGAGTGAAACAATGAAATCTTAAATGTTCCTAGAGCAGCAAAACTCATACTTTACGAGATAACCAAAAGAATCATTTTTATTTCTCTCCAGGTGTGATACCAGACGCAGCCACAACTGCGATAACTTCCAAGGACTCCCCCAGCCGATTGCAGGGTCTCAAATCGTGGTGGATTATAGCTACGGCCGGAATAGTGCTGATAGTTCTCCTCTGTTGCCTTCTCTTCATCTGCTGTTTGCGAAAGAGATCTAACAGAACGACTCCCGAGAGTAAGTAGGCTTCTGATAAAGATAGTAATAACCGTGGATCATTTTTTGAAGACATTCGTATTTTGTTCATGAAAGAAAAATATTTAATTGGTAACTTGTGAAAAGTAATACTTTCTTTCATCTACAGAATTACTCAACGGTAAATGTTTTCGCTGAACTTTGGTAGGTTAAACTTAGGCATCCGGAAAAGAAGTTTGATGCAATTTCTTTTATTCTAAGCTCATTCGCTACATGTGCTTGCAACTGCAGATATATTGGGATGGCAAGATTGTAATTTCGGTTTACACAAGCAGAAAGCGCTATGTTCATTTTTTTATTGTTCTGTCAATCTCATAATTTTTTTTTTATGATTGGGCAAGTAATTCTTTTAGGTTGCTATTGAAATAATATATATGAACAGAAACTATGTAATTTTGCTACACCAATGATTCTGAACCTTCTTAAAGCTACCACCCTCTAAGAAGAAAAAAAAAATTCAAACCCCTTATTTGAAAATCCTGTAATTTAGGGAATGGTGGGAAAAGGGTGTTCTTAAATTATAAAAGGTAAAAATTTTAAGTAATTTTTTTCAACAGATTTATACACCGAGTTTTTTTGTTTTGCTCGATAGTATTGGAAGGTAATTACATTTTTTTGGTTAAAACTGAAATGACTAATACAATAAAAAAAATTCTTAAACGCTTTTTCATGTTTAAAATATTCTTTATTCTTAAATAAATAATTAAAAAAAGAACAGCAAAAGATACACTAAAAGAGTAATATCAATATTCGGTTGAGTATTTTTAGAAAGATGAAGGCGCAAGTCCCTTCTTTACATGATTTGGAGTCGACTTTTCTTTCTTGTAATTAGATCACTCACAGCACTGAATCATCGCGCAACAAGGTAAGACGATTACCATTCTGGAAGCTGGCTTCCAAAGTTTCATTAGTTGAAAGTTCGACTAGCTCCTCCTGAATCTGAACCTCTGCTTTCTCAATGTTTATAAAAAGGTTCATGATCCACTGAGGAACTTCCAGGGACAAAATATCCTTAAAACGCTCAGAAACGTCATTGCGCAAAGACTCAAAGTTTTGACAGTAACCTAGTGTTTCATCGAACAGCATTTCACTGCTCTTATGCAGATCCGTTAAAATCGGAAACTGGCTGAATTTGTTGCGACCAAATTATGCTTCCACGAAGTAAGTTTTTTTGCGAAGAAACAAATAGCGAAGTTTATTGTGACCAAATTGAGCTATTTGTTTGAAGCTGCAAATTAATTCCATTGAATTTTGCGAATAAATCGGTCATGTAAGCAACATCAATATTAAATTGTAGCAATCTGTCTTTCAGAGCTACAGCTTTCTCTTCGAGGAATTCAAGTACAGAATGGAAACGATCCGAGAAACTATGGGAACCTATTCCAGAAGAGAATGAAAAATATTTAGCTAATTAAAAACTGAGTTTTATTTCATACTACAAAACCGAGATTGATTTCTTGACAATCCAATAAAATTTTAAGTAGCACTGATTTAGCCTGATCCATGTATATTTTAATAACAATGCGTATGCACTAAACGAATGATTATATTGTAACGTTGCGCGCCTCCAACTTGCACGCAACCAAGAGGTGACTGTGAAAACTGTATAAAACACAGAGTCTTGTGAAGGGTTTAAGTCCCTTTTTATTCAACGTAAAAATTACAATTGCGTGCTCTTGACGCTCACAGACTGCGCCAACTCGGCGGTCAAATAAAAATAATAACCTGAAAAGAAACTAAAGACAAGACTCTAACTACGAGGCTCTTTAAAATAACTAACTCACCGCGTTTTACAATACCGCTGCTAATTCAGCAGACTTGAAGCTCACTTGAACGATTAACACTACTTCCCGCCAAGCACATAGGCCGAAACGCGGGGTTCTTCAATTTCTCGCTAACTACCTCCGCGTTCGTGAAGTAAGAATATCACACACCGAACTTGTTTCCTTTCTATTTAAATCATAATACTTCCGCTGATAATTTGAATCCTTGCGCGTTCTACTAAAATTTACATATTCTGGCATTGGCAGTTCCAGGGGAAAGTAAGGCTTGACAGGAAAGATAGTTTAAACTTAAAATAAATGTTAGTTAAAATAAATATAAACCCTACAATAATTTTAAAGACATTCTTTTATCAACATAAACAATTTCCAAATTTCAGCCAAAGTGGAATGAAAGAATTGTATTTTAGACGTTTTAAAACTGAAATTTTATTACTTGAATTCAAATACTCTAATTTCAACGTACAGTAGTATCAATTGGGAATTTTGCATATCACTAGTATAATAATATTACCTTTCTCTCTCTTCTTAACAGATAAGTATTCAGGTTCTTGTCTATTCAGTAAAATATCAAACACTGTATGTTTCCGAATGTAAGCAGATTCGCGTGTAAACGAGAGGCAATATTTTGCTGCAAAACTGGAACTGAAATGGAAAACTCGTGCCTAGGACAAATTTAAAATTATCTTACATATATATGTAAGGTAATTCAATATTATCTTCCAAAAATATCGATAAATAGAAGGGACAAAATAAGCAGATTATTTACTGTCCATTTGTGCTTTTGGGGAAGCTGCTAATGAAAAGGGTACAACGTTTCAAAGGCACCGAATCATTTCCTGCACAATTTTTTGAGTAGTTGCTCAGTTTTAGCCTCCTCTTCGTGCATAAAATGCATGTCGAACTAAGCATAGCACTTTAAGTTTGCTTAGAGAGTATCATGTTTCACCAGCAGATCGATTTTAACTATCGTTCAGCAATGCCCTGTCCCACCTCAATGTACCAGTTTCCCGCTCATATTCTATAGCACAATCTTCGATCCTTTCTGCCTGCTTGTAAATTTTTGGGAGATATTTCTGAATAATCTTGTGTATCGTCAAAAGGAGGGATAGTTCATATATTTAGAGCTATCAAATGAACTGAAGGAGTACATTCCATTCGAAAAACAGGAGTGGCATAATAAACAGGCACTTTAGGGCCAATAGTTTTTCTTTCTCATAGCCTTTGAACATGCGCATAATTCGACGCTTTGGCAATATCGGGGTGAAATTTACTTTGGTTTCAAATTGTGGCAACTGTTCTCAAGCAGTCACAACATCCTCACTGTCGTATGCTTACGGGATGCCAAATTATAATTCATTTAATACATTTTTATGATTTTTATGCCAAACGTTTAAAGTTTCTATATACAACACTATTGACAAAGATTAATCCACAACAGTTCGGGAAAAAAAAGTTTAAGCTGCTTTACCTCAGGTGAAATACCCTAACACCCGAGAAAAGCTATAGAACCTAGATCCAAATTCAAACTAATTCATATAGTGGCTATTCACACTGTCTTTGTTTCCTCCGCTGGCAGTAAGAAGGAAGCTGTTTCGATGTTTGGACGACGTATGACACCCTTCAGCTTTTACCGGTAAAGTGCACATCTTCATTTTTACCATACAGATTCCGTGTTTTCCATTCCCTCCAAACGAAACCTGAATATTCAATTGGTTTTCAACTAAAATTTTTTATTTACGCTGAATGACGCTCTGGGCGGAACTGAGAATGATATTATCTACTGGATGTATGATAACCATGTTAGTCGTCAGAAGTAGAAAGATGCACTTCTTCATTTTTACCATACAGATTCCATGTTTTCCATGCCTCCCAAACAAAACGTGTATATTCAGTTGGTTTTCAACTAAAATATTTCGTTCTCGCTGAGGAACGCTCTGGGCGGAACTGATAATATTATAATCTACTAGATGTTTAAAAAAATGACTTTCACACCGGATTTGGATATTTCGAGTTAGATACCTGTAAGTTCTTTTATATATATTAGGATAAAGTAAAATTAAAATAATATTTTCAGCTATTTAACTTTTATTTCATTTTTGTGTTCGAATTATATATAAAAAAAAATTGAGTTATTTTGTAAGTCGGTCTCGAAATTTCAGCAGCAAAATATTCGCGAATGGTTCTATTACATATGGTAACCTGCTAATTAATTATAAAAACGACTATTTAATACTATGATGTGTGACCTTATGTGATGGAGTCAGTGCGATAACTGAAGGTTGGAGTCATTACTTTTGGCTTCAATAGTTAATTAGATAATTTTATTGAACCATGCTATGAAATCGTTTTCCTTATCTATGTGCAACAGTTGATGAGCTTCTGTTTTCATTATCTGCATTATATGAATGCTCTCACGAAGACATATCTGGTAACATAATTATCAGATGAGTTTTAGAGTAATATTCATTGAAATAATTTAAAGAATAAGATTATAAGTGCTGTTTTTATTGCAGACGTACAAAACTTATTTAATTAATATTTATTAGTTATGCAAAATCATATGTCGTACAAAAATACGATATCCAAAGCTATTTCTAATGAAGATCTTAATTTGGTTACAAAGCCATTTGAACCATTCGGAAATGTATACCTTTTTTCCCTTATTCCTCTTACGAGAAGGTTACTCTTGACAGTGCAACATTTTTCTATAAATAATGCCATATTTCATCACTGATTTAGATTTATTGCCCGAATAGATTTTTTTTATTTTATTTTATTGATTTTAGTTGTCATCTGAAGCAGCCTGAAAAAATTGGTGTAAATGCAAAAATGCAAAATAATCTTCGAGCGAGGGGGTGAAGGAACGTCGGGAGAAATTGAGGGGAGTGAACCTATTACGTAACAAGTGGCGATAACATTCTGAACAAAAGCAACAGGGAAAAGCCCACGGAAACAAAATTAGCCACGAGACTTACATAAACTGTTAAAGAATATATCATCATTAATCATAGGAAAATATTATAACGGAGACATATAAGCGCAAGAAAATGGAAGGGTTATGTTTGGCGATTCAGCCCATTAAGCGAAGATGTTTAAGAGTCGACATTACTTAGAGCTGCGGAATTTTCTTCTACGGTTTCTAGTACTTGCAGCTGAGCATAAATCGTGGCCTTCTATAAAATGTTCAACGCTGCCATA